GGGAAATTCTGGGAGTTGAAGTCCACTCATCTTAAAGTTGCTAAGGTTGAGAAACACTGGTACATATAATTCTGAAAGGATTTTCCTGCATGTTTTTTTTTCCTGTTTATTAAACAAAAGTGTTAACAGCAGAACCATTGTACCAATTAACCTACTGGAATCACATAACTATTTAAAAGCCATATATACCAAGAGGAGCTATATATATATTTACACGATGCCAAGTTAGATGTATAAGTTAGATAAAAACCATTCACTTTTTTTTTAAAGTGGAGTATTTATGAACATAGGAAAGATAAAGCCATAAGCACTCCATAGCATTGTGTCTCAATTAATCTACTGTAGCCCGTTCCTGCCACTCAATGTAAAACCCAAAGATAAAGCCTTCTACCATCAGTTGATTTGAGTAGGCGCTAGTGCTAGGAAATAAATAAGTCTATTCTATCCCCATGTTATCTGTAGAAGTGTTTACATTCTTAATGATTCACAAGAAAGGATAATTATACTCTTTAAGAGTCCATGTTCCTTTTCATTTATAAGAATGTAATCTTGATTCCATCCAAAGGTAGATCCTATGAATTCAATGGTGCAAGTGCTGACATAAATTAATTACTGCCTCAATTTACTATATGAAGAGCTTTGTATCTAACTAGGAGAATTTGTTTGAAGGCAAGCAAAAACAGTCTCCAGAACCTATGCTGCTGCTGAATTTTTTAATTTTAGTTGCCCAAGGGAAAGGAATCCAGGGCAGATGAAGACAAAGGAGATTCCTGCAGAGCTCCTTAAGAGCGTTTGGGTTCTTAACGCATTCATTGTGATTTACAGAAGTTCAGCAAATTATGATTAAAAAGCCAAAAATAAAATTGCTAAGTAAACAAGAAAACCATTATTTAGTAATGTGAACATCCCACAAGAGGAAAAGAAATTAAAGAAAACTTGGACAAATCAGGCTTTTTGGTTGGGGTTACATAAGATTTTGGAATATGTTATTTTTCAATGCCAGTATCAGAAGAAGCTGTTCATAAATTAAAACAATGATTTGCCTTTCTTTAAAAAATGTCAGCTGCTTTATTGAAGAACACCACACCAATCCCTATGCACAGACACTGAGCACAACCATATCTTTTCCAGTTCAGTATTTTCCACCTGCCTAGTTGGAGGCTAGCACCTAGTCAACTTTATTGACAAGCCAAGTATGGTCAGGCCTGATTAGCATTTCTTTGGGAATCTACCAAAAAATACCAGGGTTCAGTGACTAAACTGGGAAAAAAAAAATCAGCATAAGACAATGGTAAACCACTTCCATACTGCTGCCAAGAAAAACACATGGGTATACCCCTGGAGTCACTAGGATATGAGCTATACGCAATGAGACTTGATATACTCTCCAGCTGTGTTGGACTTCAAATCACCATGCTTGGGGATTATGAGAAATTCAAAATATACAGAGGGCACCTAGATAGGATATACATTTCTATGTATCTGAGACAGAAAAGCCAGATATACAGAAGAATCTGGCAAAGATGAAGAAGTCTACAATTTTCTAATTGTACCTGAGTATTCTTAGGAAACCTAATTGTCACTACCATGGAAAGGTAAGTAAGAAAATATAATATAGAGATTGCACTGCTTTGTTATTCTTATTATTATCCATATTATTATCATCATCATCATATGAAGTAGAGTTATTGAAAATATAGTGATCTGTTAATATCCATCATTACTCCATTACAAAGTTTGTCTCCAAGCAACAGGACCAGTAGCAAAGCTTGACTTTATTAAATATTCCAAATATCGCATACCGGGAAATGGAAAGCGTCCCATGCTTATTTCCTATACAAGTTAGGCTGCTGCTTCCCACTTGGTTCCGGACATCAGTCACAGTGAAAGTTAAATTAGGGAAAGCAGGACACGGGTAAGTCTCTCCGAGTGGGTAGATAGCACACACAAAAAAAAGTCCAGGCATATATCCTTTGAAGAGGTGCCACGATGCTAGTTCCAAACTTCAATAACATCACCAGACTCCATCCCCAATTGTTCAGGGGTCAGAGTTTCTGCTAAACGCTGCCCATCAAAGTGGAAGACAAGTTTGCATCTGCCGAGACCTTGAGCTTGTCTGTAGTAATTCATAAGGGCTCCCAAGGGCTCCCCCTGCAGAAAAGAGAAAATAATTACTCTAATACTTCCTCACAGAAGAAACCCTATTATCCACACCTTAGTTCCCTTACCTTCTGGACAGTAATCTCCATTGTAGAACTTTTGTCTTTTCCTTGTACTCGGAGCAGCAGGTTTCCAGAGTCATCAGCCCATTTGCTACTGGCCTCCACTATACAATCTGGAAGTTGTCCAACAGGGAATATTTATCTAATTTTCCTCCACTGAGTTCAAAATAGCAAAATAGACATTCCCCTCAACGTTACCCCACCAAGTGCCCTGTAATGGTAGAGCTGGACTCTGGGGAAGGGGAGGAGGGGTAGCAGTTGTCATCCGAGACTCTCTGTTGGCCTTCAGGGGTGCTGCTCCACAAGTGGGCGGTTGTGAGACCCTGTTCCTGCTGTACCAGCCTCCCTGCTGCGTAGCAACTTCCCTGCCTGAGCTGCTGGAGGCCATCTTGGGGCTGGCGGTGGAGCTCCCCAGACTTATGGTTCTGGGGGACTTCAATTTGCCATCCCTGGGACATGCCTTGGAGGCGGCCCGGGAGTTCATGATCACCATGGCAGCCATGGGACTGTCCCAGATTATTCACAACCCAACTTGGGACAGTGGTCTCACACCGGACTTAGTTTTCTTGTCAGAGCAGTGGCAAGATGGTCCGAAGGGGGAGTTACATCTGTCCCCATTGTCATTGTCGGATCATGCCCTGGTGATCTTGAGATTCTCTCATGCTACCCCCCTCCACAGGAAGGCAGGACCTATTCAACTGGTCCGCCTCCGGTGACTGATGGACCCAATTGGGTTCCAAAAGGAGCTGGGGGTTATACCCGAGGATCTGCTGCATGGCCAGTGGAGGCCTTGGCCACCACCTGGAATAGGAAGGCGGCTGAGGCCTTGGGACAAGATCACGCCCATGCGACCTCTCTTGTTCCATTGATCTGACAATCCCCGTGGTTTACAGAGGAGTTGAGGGTCTTGAAAAGGATTAAGAGACATCTAGAGCGCCTCTGGAGGAAAACAAGGACCGAATCTGACCAAATATAGGCTAGAGCCGCTATTAAGTCCTACCTTGTGGCAGTAAGAGCAGTGAAACATCAATATTTCTTCACTCTTACTGCATCTGTAGAATGCCGCCTGGCGGCCCTGTTTAAGATCACTCGATCCCTTTTGGGAAAAGAGGGCCCGGTGGCCCATTTACGCTGTAGGGGTCTGGATGGGGAACAACAGGCTTCAGCTGAACCCTGGTAAGACGGAGTGGCTGCGGATTGGAGGCTACTCTGTATCTGGGGGTTTACCATCTTTGGTTCTCGATGGGGCTGCATTGCCCCAGACAGACCGGGTGCATAATCTGGGGGTCCTCCTGGACTCATGACTCCTGCTTGAGGAGCAGGTGGCAGTTGTGGCCAGGAGGGCCTTTGCGCAACTTTGTGTTACGCGCCAGTTACACCCCTTCCTGGATCAGGAGTCCATCTGGTCTGTCACTCATGCCCTGGTCATCTCTTGTTTAGATTACTGCAATGTGCTCTACATGGGGCTACCCTTGAAGAGTATCTAGAAGCTACAGCTGGTTCAAAATGCAGACACATGGGCAATCTTGGGTGCCCCAAGGATGGCACATGTAACACCTTTGCTGCAGGAACTGCACTGGGTTCTGGTTTGTTTCCGGGTCCAAATCAAGGTGTTGGTTATCACCTTTAAAGCCCTACATGGCACAGGTCCAGGTTACCTGAGGGACCATCTCATCCCCATTACATCGACCTGTCCCACCCGGTCCGACAGAGGAGGCATGTTGCGGATCCCATCAGTGAGAGAATGTCGACGGGCGGGTCCTAGGAGGAGAGCCTTTTCTGCAGTTGCCTCCACCCTACAGAATACTCTCCCTGCAGAGGTGAGGTGGGCCCCTACCCTCCCAATTTTTTTGGAGGGAATTGAAGACTTGGCTCTCCCAACTTGCGTGGGGCGAGGAAAGATCCAATCGACCCTGGGGATGGCTGGCACCTTAACGATGCTCCCTGAGTTTATTAAGACCTAATTAACATCAGCCTCTTGGAAGTATTATAAAGGAAGTTTGTTTTTAGCATATTTAATTAATTAATTAATATGTATCTATTTTAACTAATGTTTATTCTATTTTTACTGTAAACTGCCCAGAGTCACTCAACAGTGAGATGGGCAGTGACAAATTTGACTGATAGATAGATAGATAGATAGATAGATAGATAGATAGATAGATAGATAGATAAGAGAGCGATGTGGCTGAATGGGGACTAGAATTTAGGACCTCAAAGACCTTACAGTAGTTCTAATTTTGAAGAACCAGGTTTAGGCAATACAGTTGGGAGAAAAGGAAAAAGACAACTGTTGTTGAATACTAGACAGTACAGAAGTTCAGTTCATTTGGGAGGCAACAGATTCGGGACATTTAAAATAGTCCGTAAGACTGGAGGGACTGAAGGGCTGATCTGAAGTAAAAAAAAAAAAAATCCCTAAGCTACTCACCAATGATGTCAGCAACGCCAAGGCCCAACTTAGCAGGAGTAGCATCAGCCGCAAGCTCACAATCTCGATGCAGGAGAAGGATTCTGTTCGGATGAACCTTCAGGATCTGTGCCATGTGCTCAACCACTCGCCGAAGAGGATCTGTCTACAAAAGGTGAGGAAGCAGCTGTGTAAGAGAATAAAGGCCCTCCCCAGTGACAATACTTACCTAGGCTGTATGAAGTCATGGTTTACTTAGCTATGGTTTACTGAATAAGCAACAACTGGCTGAATTCACACAATATGCTCAGCCACAATCGAGTAAACCGTGTTTTAGTGTAGGAGTGGCAATCCTTTGGTGGCCAAGGACTGCATTTAACAGGGGGAAGGTTGTAAAATGTATGGGGCTGTATAACCAAAGTAGCCAGAGCTGTTGTGGGGGAGTTTGAGAATCTTTTTAAAGTGTGATACATGCTAATGTTAGGTTTTATACTACAGTATTCCACTGAATTCTGCCTTCAGTTTTCAGCAAATAAAAGAGCTCCAAGGGCTACGAAAGGATCTCTGGAACTGCAAGTTGCCCATTCCTGGTTTAATGTGACATGCGAATTCAAAAGCAGTATTCAGCTTCTGAAGAGGGCATGTTTTCCACCAGTGCTATTTTGAACCATCATAAGCCCACATGGCTTTTTAAAAAAATGTAACTATTATTACATTGTTAGAGGATGTAAATATATCAGGTAAATTAATAGCGTGGTTGCTAGAATTCACATAAAATGTTGGTTTTGTGCAGGATTGTACATGAAGGCTCACCTACTACTTGGGGAATGTCTAGGAGGAAAAAATAAGATTCCAGAGCAGAAAATGACTGCTCTGCACTGAAGCCCAGAAAAAAATGGTCTCTGCTGCAGATGTTAGGACTGAGTCCTGGGGACTTCTGGGAAAGCAATGGTGAATTAAAGATGGCTCCGCTGAGAGCAAAGCCAATGACTGCGGCGGAATGAGAAGCTGGTGAACGGGCTGGCTTCTCGGAATTCCTCTCTGAACAAGGAGAAGACTTGGGATTGCCTATGTGTGCTGCAGACAGCAGCTCCTCACGAGGAGACCATAAGACAGCAGTCTCTGGCGGGTTTAGAGCTCTGGAAGCCGAGAAATCACCCTCTTTGCCCAAGCTGCAGTCAGCACCTTTCAAAAGAACACTGGATTTGCATACTTCCTTAAGTAATAGCTTTTGGAAAATGCTCGTTGACCATTTTTTGGATATTATGACCCTTTAGGTTTTAAGGCTTAAGGCTTTAAAGATTTGTTCATAAACAAGAGATAAGATACGGGAAGAAGAGATTTTCTGTTGTATTTTTAGAGAAAGTGATAAGTTACTGTGTTGAAAGGAATATAAAGTTGGTTTACTTGATTAAGGTTAAAATATATATGTTGTTATTACTGGTAACTCTTAATGGACTTTTGCTGGTTAGGACTGAATGAGGCGGCTTTAAGAATGAGTTATGGGAAGAAGAGATCTTTTGTTGTAGTATCAGAGAAGATGGTAAGTTACTGAAATTGTACTTGTCATAGTGAAGGAGAAAGTCATAACTTTATATATCTCTTTTTGTGTGAGTGTGTGTATCTTCTCTGCACTTTTTCTTTTTTATATTTTTCTTAGTTTGTATTAGTTTTTTATCTTTGTAACTATAAACTTTAATAAAAATTATTATTAAAAAAAGGACTGAGTCCTGGGAAGGTGTGGGGAAGAAAAAAAGGGAAGAGAAAAGCCCAGATTATGAGAAGCAGATGAAATGAGTAGGGACAAGGTAACAAATACCAAAGCATCACACCATTTGAACACAGACTCTGTAGAGATCAGCTCGACATCGGACTTTCAGCATCAGCTCTTGGGGCTCAAATGAGTCGACCACAATCACGGCATCCTCATCAGATCCTGACCCTTCATCCTGCAAGATCTTCTTAGCAGCTAAGAGGGAGGTGGTCAGATTTCTGAGACTCTGATCAAAAATTCTGCTGAGAAAGCAAGAACAAACCTGAGTGAGAAATCCATATGCTAGGTTTTGCCTTGGCATGCCGTAAACTAGAAGTGGGCTGTATTCAGTCTGAAGCAGGCAAAGGTGCTTGGGTTCTGTTACGGAAACCCTTTCTGTATCTGTCAGCAGCTTCTTAAGGGAGCAGCCCTTTTCCCTATGTTGATATGATCACCAGACAGATTCAAATACATATGCACTTGAGTTAAGGAGTTAAGGAGTTAAGGAGTCACTGACAGTTACTTCATCACCCTGTTGCCACCTCTGTAATGCCTGTGCAAGAATTATCTGCACAGATACTATGTAAGCCCAAGAAAAGGCTGGACTTCTTTACAGAGTTTCTGGCATGGAAAAGACAAGAGCCTGCTCTGGGACCCAATGAGCCACAACAGTCTCCCCCCACTCAGTATCGCTTCAGACTTTTGGAATGGAGTTCCTATCACCCCCCAGTCCAAGATATCCAGGAGAGATGGAATTGGAACTGGGAAGATTAGGACAGACAGACCAATTTCACATATTTGTCTTGGCTTCTGTCAGGAGCCTTTAATGAATTCATTTGCTGCCTCAGTACTTCATTGACCAGATTAGCCTTTTTTATAAGACTGCTCTGAGGACAGTGTCTGAAGGTAGAGACAAAATGGCATATTATTCCTAACCTAAGCCCATCATCAAGAAACCAGTCCTCTCCAGCCTGAAAGCCTCTCAAAGTATCACCAAAACTAAGAACACAACACTGGCATACAACATAAAAGCAAGCTAAGTGCACAAAGAGTAACTCAGCATGATCTGGCCTTATCGGGTATATCAGCCAATTTACAAAGATAGGAAATAACCTCTCCAACCCTGTACGACTGCATTATTTTCAGCACAATACTGTTGTGCTCATACTGGCTTTTAATCAGTGTCAGTGCAGATTATGACATGAATAGAAACAGTCCAGCAATTTAAAAAAAATTAAAAAAGAAACAGGTCAACAAGATCTTTAATGGAAATATGTTGCATTCAAATAAACAAGCTTAGTCAAAGTGTGCTGACTAGCGTCTGTTGGCTTTCTTCCCGTACACACTACACAGTTGCTGAGCTATCTGAAGGACTGTAAGCTGACTTGCCATGTCGTCTCAAACTAACGGGATCGCTCCTGCTACCTGGAGCAAGCTAGGGAAAGAAGCCACCAATTTAAAACAATTGTGCCCCCAAGACCCCAATCCTCTTTAAGGCTCTCCTCCTCCTCTGGTATCAATCCACCATACTCCCACCTCATTTCCAGAAATATCAATTTCTTACTGGGCTTTGTCATGCTTTTTCTTTTGCTGTGGTGGAGGTGGAGGGGAAGGTGACGGTGAAGGTGAAAGATCTTGACGTCTGCCAAAAGGAGAACAGATATAGAAATAGTTTTAATTCAGCTTGTCCAAAAAGTTATGTAGAAGGAGAGAAGAGGAGGAGAACTCAAATCTTGCATTTTTGCTTCACATACTTTACAGGAGCTCTCTTTTTCTCTTTCTCTTTCTCTTCCTCTTCTGATGAGCTAAGGACCTGGGGCTCACAACAAAGCTCTTCAACTTGAACAGGAAGCTTCAGAGAATTTTGCAACAATTGTAGGCTGTTCTGAACCTACAGAT